CCCTAGAGAACAGCGAGGCTCCCTAACGGCCGGTTCCCGGGGGCGGCGCGGGGCTGGCCATTGCGCGAAGCACGCGTGCTGCGAACGGCGTTAACGGGGTCGAGCAACGGGCATTCAAAGAAGACCCAAAGCGTCATTCCCAGGGTGCTGTGGTCAGTATTTCAGAGATCCTCAGACATTTCAATAAATGAAACAGTTCTTACATTACAATGCACCTTTCCAATTATTATTTTGCCCCAGAATGGATAAAGTACACAGGAGTTACGCCTGGCTGCACATACATGCTCCCTTTGCCCTGACACGGCAGGAAGGAGGGAAACAGCCTCGGCTCTTACAGAGAATGAGAACTCAGCGCTGTAAATCTTGGCAGGTTGAGGGGGAACACACAAGTGCCTTCACCCCCGCTCTGGGGCACTTGCTTCCAGAGGAGAAAAGGTATTTCAGACATGGTACGAGAGAATAACCGTCGAGTACAATGACAGCTGATTAGGTTTGCTTTGTTCTACTCCATGCAATACAAACTAAGTCCTATCACCAACTTCTCCGGCCGCGGTGCAGACCCACACGGCAGGCTAAGAAGTTAAACGCACACACACGCGCTCTCACGCACCAAAACCAGTGGGGGCAAAGGGCTTAACTGTGGCGAATGTGCTTTCTCTTCATAAAAAAAAAAAAAATATATTAAAAACAACTTCAAAAACCTACTGATGGTGAAGACGGTGCTGAAGAAGAAAGTAGGGAATGGGGCCTCGGCTACGTGTTTCCAGACAACCCAGGCATTGCAGTCGGGCTGACCAAAGCCTGCGCGAGCGGTCTGCAGTGGTTGGCTCCCTTCCGGCTTCCTAGGGGGTTTCTATAAGCTGTTCCCTTTGATTTCGCTTGCTTGTCCGTTTTACAGTGACAAATGTGATTGCGATACAGTAATTAAGGGACTGAAGTGAAAAAGGAATGGGCCGTTCCGGAGAAATTCAGACTGGTATTTTCTCCTTTCCATTTTTTAAAAAAAAAAAACAACCAACAACGAACCAACAACAAAAAATAAAATTAAAAAAAATAAGTAGTTAGTAGTACTAATGCAACCCTCCTGCTGCTGTCGTCTTTGCTCAGTGACATCGGGGCATGCTGGCGCACACACACACACACAGGCAGCTCTCAGACACTCGGACTCAGAAAAGCGAGTTTAGAACTGAAGTGAGTCTTCGGAGGAGACCGAGGACAGGTCCCAGGGCTAGAAGGTTTTTCGGTGGATGGCACGAGCTCCGTCTTCTTCATATTCTTTTTTCGAAACCCACATTTTCTTAAAGGTGTCGAGTGAGGCCAGGATAGAGCCACTGAGGAGAGACAGGCACGACACGGGTTAAAGGAAAGCAGAGAAGACCTGTTTCTACACTTTCAGCTTCAGAAAGGTGCTGAGGCGCCCAGTTACCTACAACAGGAACACTCCCCTGACAGTCGGTTCCTCTCCTGTTAGCCTCAGACCTGCTACAGAACCCGGCACCGGCCACCCGCTCCCAAACAACGCACAGACTGCTGCTCCAGTAACGGGCTGAGTAGCTCGGAGCTGAGCGGTGAACCCTCCTGACACGCTGTGTCGGTTAACAGCATGAGTGCCAACAGGCTGCGCCTCCCCAGCCCCCACCCCACAGCAAGACGCGTCATTGTGCAGCACATACCCAATCCACGTGGAATACAATCTCTCCTGAGGAGCTGATATCTGGGAGAGAGAGAGAGAATCAGTCAGTGCCTTCCCGAGCTCCAGCCGGCTCCTCCTGGCACACTACCCCATTTCACTACAGCTGACCAATAGGGCTATGATCTCTCCCACCAGAAAAACACCCAGCAGCACCCCCAAAACAGCCACTGTGGTGCAGGGTCCTGGACAGGGGTCACGCTGTCAGGAGCCACCTGCTCTGCCGCAAGTGGCAGCTGCGCTCTCAGCATGGTACTTCAAGGGCGCAAAGACTACAGAACACCACACACAGTAAGTCATAAACGCAAGAGAGATCGCTCCTACCCTTATTTTGACGTCCTTCGGAGCCAGTTTCTTCACTTCGCTCAGCAGCCTGTCGCCAAAGCCTACACAAGACAGGAGATGGGTAATCTCAGCCCCTCAGCATAATCCCAAATTCCATCACTAACAATGTGGCCATGTCCTGTGCAGTCCTATTCAGATATCCCACTCCAGATCTCACAGAGAGACCAGTTTGGAGAAGCACAGAACTCAGCCAGTGGTGTAACAGGACTCTGGTCTCTCAGCCCTCACACGCTGGCATGATGCGCTCTATCCCACGATCCATCATGGCAGCTTCAGACCTCAAACACAACTGTTCGGACCACACGTGGGCCAGTTCCCTTCCCTGTCCTCAGGCATTCCCCCTGTGTCCAGCCTGTTTGTTCAGGAGAGCGGGGTTTGAATGGGAAGACCAGGACCTGTCTTGAAACATCCACCTGTGGAGAACAGGCTGACAGGTGCTGGCAGAGGATATCTTTAAGTTGACGGGGGCTGGCTGAGCCCCATCAGAAAGGTGTCTCATATGCAGAGGTGTCTCACATACCCAGAAGGGCATGTCTAGGACTCAGAAAATTAGACAGTAACCCCTGCTGAGAGCGCAGAGTTCCTACGGCCCTCATCCCGTAGGACAAGTCAGGTGACCTAGGTTATCTTCCCAGTTTCACATGAGAAGGAAGCAAGACATCTGGGATGTCACAGCCCACGGAAAGATGAAAGGCAAGTACCTTTGAAAAGTGTGGAGCCTCCAGACAGCACGATATTGGAGAACAGCGTTCGCCTCAGGTCCATGTCTGATTTTTGAATGGCAAAAACGAGCACCTCGTGGAGTCCTTCACATTCTTCCCCTATCAGGTCTGGCCGGAACAGGAGCTCTGGGGCTCGAAAACGGGCAGGGCCAATCTGCAAGGGGAGAAGTTAGCACAGAGGGCAAGAGCACAGTGTGGCTCTGTTCCCTGTCCAGATTGGGCCTGCCTATCTTAGGTGAAACCAGCAGCGTACTGGACATCAATGCTGCATCACCAGCTCCCAAGTGACTGCCAGCCTGGCCTACTGCTCCGAGGAAAGGCGCTATTTCCATTTTGCAGGAAGAAATGAAGAAACTCGCTAGCTCCATGCAGCAGGTCACTGGCAGCAAAGGGAGCAGATCCAGCTCTGGTGCTGGAGGCGAGACTGGTATTTCCTCTCCTTCAACCATTCTATAGAGGGATCAGACTTCTGTGGGAGTATTCCTAACTCACTCTTCAAAGCAATTGTTTCTGCACCTCTAGGCAGGAGAAAAGCCACATACAAAGCCAGTGCTGGATTTCCAATGAGCTGATTCCTACTCACACTCCACACCTGATCTGCATAGATATTTGCCAGATCAGGGCCTGCATTCAAGCAGTGCCGAGTCCCCACGCTCACGCTGTACCCTTACCCAGGACTTCCGGTAGAAGTTGTGAGGTTTCTAATCACATTTTCTTCCCCTAAACCTTCTAGTGCCCAGTCAACAGCCTAGGATGAGTTCTGGTCTTTTAAAAATTATCCCCTCCCACCTAACACCACATTAAGTTTCCCCTCACTAGGCAGAAGGCTGTTCTGGAAACCCTGCGTTTCACAAACCTCAATAGTGCTTCCGTCTGGCAGGTAATACTGAGCCTTCTCAGTCTCCAGAGTCTCATCCTTCTGGGGGTTTATTGACAGGTAGCAGGCACGCTGGAAAGGAAACAGAGTCAGGGAAAGCAGAAGGGTAAACCCAAGCGCCTCTGGTAAAATGCTTTTCTCACTAACAATCAAAATCCACATACTCCTTGGGGAGACCAATTTCAACAATGTTTTGTGCTGGGCAGAGACCTTTTGGGTTCACATCAGGTAAAATACCTATTCATGCTACAGCTCCATGTGACAGTTAGAGCCATGAAGGATGCTCACACTCCCTCTAGCTGCTGCTCCTCTCCCGCTTCCAGCTCTCGCTTGCTGCTTAGAAGATACCTCCCTCTAGTGCAGATGAGATAACTATCCTGTGAGCACTTCCAACGTACTCAAGGGCCAAGTAAAACACACACAGGCATCTAGTCCACCCCCCTGCTCAGGCAGGGTCAGTTAGCGCAGGCTGCCCAAAAGCACCACCGGTCATGTTTGGAGTCCCACAGACGGAGAACCTGCACTCTCTTTGGGCAACCTGTTCCAAGGTTTGACCACCCTCACTGTAAACAAAGAAAGAGAGAAAAGCGTTTGCACTGAAGTAGATATTAGGGGTTCCCCTTTTAATTTTCCCTCTAGACTTTTCAACATACCCAATTTTTTTTTTCCTAATATTCTTCCCCTTCAAAAACCCAATAAAAATCTCAAATCAGACAGACTCCAACAGATCACAAGTGGCTTTTGGGCCTAAGAAACACCCATGTGCAGGATCTCAGCTTTGAGCTTGCCACGTTGCATTCAGGGTGCACATCCAAAGGCCTCCTGAGGCAAGAAAGCTGCAAACACAAGCAGCCACACTCAACCCCTCAGATTTGTAAATCGAGTCACAAATGGCACCACCATCAACAGAAATCTCACTGCAAGATCCACACATGCATTTATCTGAGAAAACTGCAACACATTCCCCAGCTAAAATTAATCTGAAAGTAAAGCAAAAGGTGGAGGTTGGAGAGTGACCATCAGGTTGTTTCCTCCCTTCTTCAATGGCCTCACCAGTGCGGGTGGTCAGCATGCAAAGCAGGACTCAGCTCACCTTCCCCTGCTCTTTTGTTTCCCTGAGCATACAGTTCACAGAACAGACTGCACTGGTGCCAGACATCGCACTTAACCGTCAGCATAATGCCTTAATAGTTTAGGATGCAAAGGGAGCCTTGGCCATTTATGAAGATACAAGTCTCTTGCTTTTCCCTCTAAGGCCACTGCAACTGATGCTTGGTATAGACCAGGCTCCTTCTGAAGCAGTGCTCTCCAGCAAGCTCCTGATCACTACATCTTCTGGTCCACAGATGCTGCAGTACCTGCACATGTCAGCTTTCTCCTCCCATTCAGCAACCAGCACTTGTAGAGCAGAGAGTTAAAGCCTTCAACCCTATGAAGTCTCCTGCTCTGGGCAGCAGGCAAAAGCCATCCAGCTGTACTGTGACATGAAGCACAAGCACTGCTCCCTCAGCACAGCCACAACGAGCAACGGCCATGCACAACCACCAAGTTATTTCCAATTTGGTCCTTTGCTGGTAGGTCCTGGGGCTCAAGAACAGCTCATTAACACTCTCAAGCCCTGGCACAGGCTGCCGACTCGGCCCAGTCACCTGTGGCGCTCACAGCTTCTGACAGGGGCCCACAGCGTGGCAGCAGCTGGAAGGCAGCAGCACGCAGCAATGACAGCCAAGAGGACGGACCCCGTGCACTGAAGGCACGGATGCACAGGCGACCAGAAGGCACACGCAGCCCTGCTGACATCGGGGAGCAACCCATCTGTGTGAGCACAAAGCTGCTGTGAGCAGGTACCAGCTCCGAGCTACTACCCACTGTCCCACCTCTGCCCTCCTCTTGGCACACAGCAGAAGCCAAGGTAACCGCTTCGCTAGGGATCTTAATTGCGCCTTTCCAAACTGCTGCACAGCTCTAAGGTCGCTAAACACTGCAGACCCTATAAAGAGGGGAAGCTTCTGTAAACATGAATGCTGTGAGTGAATTCTTTCACATGGGGGCAGCAACTTGCAATATTCCTACCTGCCATGGATTTTAGACAGCCTCGCACTGAAGGGTAAACAAACACTGGGGAAAGTTATCTCCAGTCCCTGAGAAACTGCAGCACAGAGAAATGCAAAGCAGATTCTGAATCACCAGCCTCTCTCCGCCCCCATGCCAACAGCCCCTCAACAGGGATTAGATGTGACCTTGACTAGTTCTTGCAGAACACAGAATGGCTGAGGTTGCGCTTGGAGGTCATCCTGTCCACCTCCCTTGTTCGAACGGGGTCACCCAGAGCAGGCTGCCCAGCACCCCACTCAGATGGAAGATGGAGACTACACGGCTCCTTGGACAACCCGTGCCAGTGCCTGGCAACCCTCACAGTAAAAAAGTTTACATTCAGATAGAACCTCCTGCGCTTCAGTTTGTGCCTCTCGTCCCATCACTGAGTATCACTGAAGCGAGCCTGGCTGTTTTCTCTGCACCCTCCCTTTAGACATTTATGTGCATTGATGAGATCCTCCCCAAACTTCTTGTCTCACGGCTCAACAGGCCCAGCTCTCTCAGCCTTTCCTCATGTGAGAGATGCTCCAGTCCTTTAACCATCTTAGCTGCCCTAGTGCCCCTTGGGTAGATGAAGGAACGAGGTGCAGAGCTAGGTAGGCTGGCACTTCCCCCTGCATTTCACAAGTCACAACTTCCCTTGGGCAGAAATCCTTTCTTGGATAAACACAGAAACAGACAATACATCACCTCCTTGATGGTCTTGACAATCTCAAACTCTGAGGTTGTGTGGAAGTCATAGCCTTCCTTCCGGAGATAGAGACGCAGGAAGCGGGAGACATCACGTCCGGCAATGTCAATCCGCATGATGGAGTGAGGCATGGCGAAGCCTTCATAGATGGGGACCGCATGCGTAACGCCATCCCCGGAGTCCAGCACCACTCCCGTAGTCCTCCCGGTTGCGTAGCTAGCCAAGGAGCAAACAATCAAGTCAGAACAAATGACTCGAAGGGACCTCAAACATGCAGCACATCCAGGCTCAACTCGGGGAGCAGAGATTTCACATGAACAGGGGCTGCAAAAACCCAAAAGCCTAGTTCTCACCACAGTTCAGCAAATGCCTGTAAACTCTTAATCGCAGAAATTAAAAGTGAATTTCAGTTCTTGCTTGGAAAGGGGTAAGTCAGACATCCGTGTGGTCTTCCACAGATTTTTTCGGTTTGGGAAAAACGGGATGACACAGTAACATTTCACAAGCACAAATCAAGGACGCAAGACACTTACAGGCTAAGCACAGCTTGCATTGAGATGAACAGTGCCGGCACATTGAAGGTCTCAAAAAACACCTCAGCAGCACGTTCTCTGTTCTTGCGGGGGTTTAGGGGTGCTTCCGTCAGCAGCACAGGATGCTGGGTAAAGAAAAGAAGGAGCCGTGCTGCAATAACCAGGAGGCAGCTAGACGTGTGTTCCTGAAAATTTCTGCTTATTTATTCACTTTAGGAACCACTGGTGCGAGAGCACAGGTAGAAGGGAGTAAGTTCAGCTGCTGAGCCCTATGAGCCTGTGAATAACCTCTATTCAGTTGGAAGACCAGCAGGGTTCTGGTCTAGCTATGAAGAAGCGTTAGGAAACCTACTCTGTGAGCAATCCTGTCCCGCAAAGGACAAACAAGATGACTTGGTGCCAAAAGTTAGCCAGATTGCCCAAAATACCCAGAGCCTAAGGAAGCGTGAAGGCGTAAGGTCTTAGCACGAGCAGGCAGAAATATTCCTACTCCACTTATACAAGCTACTGCTTTCAGTCATTTAATAATTTTTTGGTCAGCTCCTTCCAGACCACAGGATTGTGGTTTTCTCCCTCCTCTCTTCAAACCACGTCACTGCTGAGCGGATACGCTTGATGTGCGGGCAGAGCAGGAAGAGTTAGAAGCACTTGGCCTAGAGCAGAATCATTAGAGAGAGTGTGAATAATAAATGCTGAAAGTCAGGTTTGCAGTCAGGCCAGAATATTAGATCTGGGGAGGAATTATGCCTGAACACTTTGTGCAGTATCTCCCAAGAGGCGAAAGAGCCTAATTTAACAACAGACACATTTAGAAAGAAGAGCAAAGGAAGAGTCTCAAATCCTTCCTGCAGTTCCAGGGCTCCTGGTGTCATACACAGGCACTGAATGACACCTGCGCCGTTACACAGTGAGGTATCTCACCTCCTCTGAGAATGTCTGAAGCTGGTCTTTCGAATACACATACTGCCAGATGCGTTCCATGTCATTCCAGTCCTTCACTATGCCATGCTCCATCGGGTATCGGATCGAGAGGAGACCTCTGTGCTCCTGAGCAAAAAGAAACGACAGCGAAGCATACCTGTCAGAGACTCGAACAGACACATTTCTGAGCACTATGACTATGATTTAGTCTGTCAGACTCACTTTTTATTCCACTAGAAGACAACTTATCTCTAGCATATAGGGCAAAGCTTGAACAGTGATCACAAACAGAAGTATTCACGAGCTTAAACAAGGCCTGTTCATGCCAAGTAGGAAAAGTCTGGCATTTGCAGAGCACATTCCATCCTAACAGTTTTCAAGTCAATATGCAGATGCCCATCAAACAGTATCTTTGTTCTACCAGCTCAGTCTTGATAGAAAACATAACAGGGTGGTACTGGGGAATGTAGTTCGGAGGGCTCGTGAGAAATGTGAGACCACACAACTACATGCTGGCAAAAGTGGGACTGTGGAAAGCAAGCTTGTTCCCGCACCAGGGAAATAAAGGCAACCAAGAAGGGTCCCTTTCTCAAGTTCCCAGTCAGAAAGACAGGGACGTAACCATACAGACCTAGAAGTATACTAGAAAAAAAAAAAAGACAGACTTGGGAAGTAGTTCTGTGGTCAGCAGGTTCGCACAAGAATTCCACGAAGCTTCCCACTCCACCCTGGACAATCTATTCTGCTCTTCAGATCTATGTGCCAATACCAAGGAACCCCAGCCCCTCTAGCACAAGTGCTACAGCCCCTCCTTACACAGCATACTGAGACAGACAGAGAAGTGCAGTACACACATTTCCTTACCTCTGCCTTTGGACCAATGAAAATGTCCCCTTCTAAAGCACCGGCCATAACTCGAACGTGCTTTGGTCTGCCCACACTGGAACAGAGGCAAGAGTATAAATGCTTTTAGAGACAGCTCAGGTGCACCCAAGGCTTAACTTCTTTGTGTTCCTCTGTCCTAACCAGTACATTCTAAAGCGATGGGTGAGTCTGGGGGCACTACCACATGCAGGCAGACCCACGTTTGCTCTGACCAAGTTAATCTCGGAATCAGAGGTGAAGGGAACAGACTGCAGATACCTGTGAACTGGCAGCTGAGCCTGGCCACGCTTTGCCTGATGATTCAGGACTTATTTGCTCCAGCAGCACCTGGGGTGGACATGGCGAGACGGAGCAATGGTCTGAGCTGACAGACCCACGCAGTGTGGCCTGACCTCAAGTCGGCTTCTCAGACTGGACACTTATAGCCCCATATCCCAGCTCAGCATACAGAACACATTGCTCAGAACATAAATACACTCATTAAAACCCCACCCCCTTGAAAATAAAAGCCAGTGGCTATTCAGAATTCCTGATCCAGCAGTCCTTCTTCCAGTAAAACTCTCAGAAAGCTTCCAAGGAAGTTTTGCCAGACTGAAAACATCAGACCACATGCCCAAAATTAAAGAGGTCTTCACACCTCTCATCCCAACTTTGTCTTTTTCATGGTTCTCTTCCTAATGTCTCAAGACTAAAGGATGTTACAGCTTGGGTTGGGGGTTGAGCCTGACAAAGTGATAAGTGATTATTTTTATGGTTCTTCCCCCAGAAAAATCTCAAAGTGCTTAATAGCAGAGATCGCCTCTCCCCAGTGCTTCTGTGCAGCAAGCAGAAAAATAACAACTCATTTTTCCAGTTACAAAATTGGACCGTTCTTCCCCTCTACATATCAAAAAACTGGTACACGGGACTAAGAACTTACCAATGCCAGCAGAATACTTACTAGTTTGGAAAGCAGTATTTCGGTATTTGATCGCCTGCAAAGCCTGCTTTAATCACGCCCGAGCCCTGTGGGAGCAAGATATAAATACGTGAGCTTATCATTCAGTCAGTCATCTTCGCAGGGTTTAACGGAGTAGCAAAGTACATCAGCACTGCCAGGTCCTCTCCTTTTGACTAAGAATAAAGCTTCCCAGGGATCGATTTAGGGTAGAAAGGTGCCACCTTGGCCACTAGAGGGGAGTAACTGGCACCCTCCTCGCGGCCAGCACACCGGGCGCAGACAGCCAGGACAGCTCCGCAAGCACACCCAAATGCTGCCCTGCGGACAAGTGCTTTGCTACCCAACCCTAGTGCTAGGGGTGCAGGAGGCTTAATCCCAGCTCTGCAGTTTTCTATTCATCTTAAAATACTCTGGGTGGAAGGCAGCAGTCCAAAGAGCCGAGCAACGGCAACCAAACCCTGCCAGCTTCAGGGGCCACTGCTAAAATGGGGTAGGATGAGGGCTGTAAGCACCTCAGAGCAGCAGATTTAGAGATGATGGAGGGCGGGTGGATAAAGTCAGAGGAGGGAGTAGGAAAGGACCATGTGAAACAGGTTGAAGACTAGGAAAAAGAAGATCAGGTGGTGGATAAACTAGTTAACGCTGAAGAGGCAGGCCACAGAAATCTGGTTAGAAAAGACATTGGAAACTCAACCAGACTGGGGTCTGGAAAGAACAATAGTGCTAGTCAGAGTGCAAGGGGAAGGCTGGAGGCAGGAAGAGAGGCTGAGAGGACAGGGCTTGTTTAAAAGGGACAGGGAAGAAGAGATGAGGTATGGCAGTTGGAAAGGCACAAATCCAGAAAGCTGCAGCAGCACAAGCAGCGAACACAGAGCGGGTAAAACCTGCACAGGGAGCCCCTGGCAGGGAGTCGGTGGTGGGCATCTGGCCCCACAGCTCCCGTTCCTGTCGGTATCACCCGGAGGTACCCTGGGAACCACATCATCTGTGCTGACTCCTTCCCCTCCTCATTTCCTCTCCCTGCGCAAGGGAATGACATCTTGAAACAATGAGCAGCTTGCAGGAACACCCAGGTTTTGCTAAGGAGAGGATTTTCCTAGGATCTCCTTGGATAAACTGTTTCAGACGTAATCCCAGAGTACCATGCACAAGCTCTTCCACAGAAAGAGGAGTAGTTCCACTTTATTCCATACTGGGAGCAAAGTATCTGAGTTTGCACTGAAACCTGTGAAGCTCCTGTTCACTCTCAGGGGCTCTGCAGCAGGACTGCTCCGGTTTTGAGGCCAGAAAGACATTTTGGATACCCCAGAGCATTTTAAAGTGAGTAGCAGCACAGTTCCTCCACTGCTTTCCCCCTCCCACCACCTCTTGTGTGGGTCAGCATCACCGCTTTCACTTGAAGGCGGAAGCCAAACAAGCTGCTCCCGGCTCTGCCAGACAAGGTCTGGCTGCAGCAGCTTCTGATGCTGCTGTCCCAGCTGCCTGCCCCGTTCCAGTGCCAGAGGTTACCAGCCAGGCAGGCTCAGCAGAAAGGAATGCGGAGTGGCTCCCGCC